ACTTTTAATCCAGGTTACAATGATCCACACTTTTAATCCAGGTTACACTCTTCCCTCAAGGACACATTTTACAAAGTAGCTACATATTGTGCAGGTATAAAGACACATTTGTATATATTTTGTGTACATTAATTTTTTTAAGCTATTTGACTAACTTATTTTTTATTATTCAATATTTTACTAACAGAATAGTCAAATAACCTGTTTCTGTGCAAATTTTTATGTCAGTCAAATGTTTATTTTGGAATAAAGGGGTGGAAATAAAAAAAATAAAAAATTTGGCCGATTCATCGATTAATCGAAAAAATAATCAGCCGATGAATCGATTATTGAAATAAGTTAGTTGCAGCCCTAATCCAGCATGCCTTGTTCCAACTCTTGGCCACGAACCTCAGCCTTGTTTCTCAGAATCAGAATCAGTTTATTATCGCCATGTCAATGAACGAGGTTCACAAACTAGGAATTTGCTTCGACATAAGGTGCGAATAGTAATAAAGTAAAATAAAGTAAAAATGAAAACATTACATAAGACATAAGCCTGTGTACACCCACAAATAAAGTAAAATTAAAACCATAACATAACCATATGTACACCCATACAATAGAAAACAATAAAAAGCTTAGAAAACAGTACAGATGGAGTATTCAATTATAATACAGATGTAATGTGACCAAAGCAGAAGTTATGAGGCAGCATTATGAGTGTTCAGGAGTCCAACAGCAGAGGGGAAGAAACTGTTCTTATGGCGGGAGGTTCTGGTCCGAATGGACCGAAGCCTCCTGCCTGAGGGGAGTGGTTCAAACAGTCCGTGTGCAGGGTGAGCAGGGTCAGCTGTGATCCGACCTGCTCGCCTCACAGTCCTGGAGACGTACAGGTCGTGGAGGGATGGAAGGCTGCAGCCCATCACCTCGACTCCTCACCTTGCCTTGTCCCTTCTGGATTGATCTGCTTCATCTGACCACGGTATCGTAATACTTAATTACACAGTCGTGGAGATTTTGGATCAGGCCGTTCAGGCTCTAACACTCACAGGCTGACTTTAACGCTGAGAGAGGAGGAGGGGAGGCTGCGGTCCTCCTTTCTCCCTGCAGGCAACCACGGAGCAACTTTCCACTCGTAAATTGAAGCCGTTTGACGCCACACGCGCTGCACACGTGAACCCCGTCTGTCGGTGTAACAAGCGACATACAGTGCCTTGTGAAAGTATTCGGCCCCCTTGAACTTTTCAACCTTTTGTCACATTTCAGGCTTCAAACATAAAGATATAAAATTTAAATTTTTTGTGAAGAATCAACAACAAGTTGGACACAATCATGAAGTGGAATGAAATTTACTGGATGTGTCAAACTTTTTTAACAAATAAAAAACTGAAAAGTGGGACGTGCAATATTATTGGGCCCCTTTACTTTCAGAGCAGCAAACTCACTCCAGAAGTTCAGTGAGGATCTATGAATGATCCAACGTTGTCCCAAATGACTGATGATGATAAATAGAATCCACCTGTGTGTAATCAAGTCTCCGTATAAATGCACCTGCTCTGTGATAGTCTCAGGGTTCTGTTCAAAGCGCAGAGAGCATCATGAAGACCAAGGAACACACCAGGCAGGTCCGAGATACTGTTGTGGAGAAGTTTAAAGCCGGATTTGGATACAAAAAGATTTCCCAAGCTTTAAACATCCCAAGCAGCACTGTGCAAGCAATCATCTTGAAATGGAAGGAGTATGAGACCACTGCAAATCTACCAAGACCCGGCCGTCCCTCTAAACTTTCATCTGGAACAAGGAGAAGACTGATCAGAGATGCAGCCAAGAGGCCCATGATCACTCTGGATGAACTGCAGAGATCTACAGCTGAGGTGGGAGAGTCTGTCCATAGGACAACAATCAGTCGTACACTGCACAAATCTGGCCTGTATGGAAGAGTGGCAAGAAGAAAGACATTTCTCAAAGATATCCATAAAAAGTGTTGTTTAAAGTTTGTCACCTGGGAGACACCAAACATGTGGAAGAAGGTGCTCTGGTCACATGAAACCAAAATCAAACTGTTTGGACACAATGCAAAATGATATGTTTGGTGTAAAAGCAACCCAGCTCATCACCCTGAACACACCATCCCCACTGTCAAACATGGTGGTGGCAGCATCATGGTTTGGGCCTGCTTTTCATCAGCAGGGACAGGGAAGATGGTCAGAATTGATGGAAGATGGATGGGGCCAAATACAGGACCATTCTGGAAGAAAACCTGTTTGAGTCTGCAAGAGACCTGAGACTGGGACGGAGATTTATCTTCCAACAAGACAATGATCCAAAACATAAAGACACATCTACAATGGAATGGTTCACAAATAAACGTATCCAGGTGTTGGAATGGCCAAGTCAAAGTCCAGACCTGAATCCAATCGAGAATCTGTGGAAAGAGCTGAAGACTGCTGTTCACAAACGCTCTCCATCCAACCTCACTGAGCTCCAGCTGTTCTGCAGGAAGAATGGGCAGAACTTCAGTGTCTCCATGTTCAAAACTGATGGAGACAAACCCCAAGAGACTTGCAGCTGGAACTGCAGCAAGAGGCGGAGCTACAAAGTATTAACGCAAGGGGGCCCAATAATATTGTACGCCCCACTTTTCAGTTTTTTAATTGTTAAAAAGTTTGACACATCCAATAAATTTCATTCCACTTCACGATTGTGTCCCACTTGTTGTTGATTCTTCACAAAAAATTTACATTTTATATCTTTATGTTTGAAGCCTGAAATGTGGCAAAAGGTTGAAAAGTTCAAGGGGGCCGAATACTTTTGCAAGGCGCTGCATATGTACAGCTGTAGGGCAACTCTATACAGCTCTGGGTGTAAACACGTAGTCTGTTTGTCATACGTCTGCTGTTTTACCTGCCTGCGTGCTGAAACCACATGTCACGTTACGGCCCATACCAAAACTTGACACTGAAAGAAGAGGCATGTTTCAATCCATACACCGACAGAAGCAGTTCGGTCGGTGCCATAAAAGAACCTCGGTTCGGTATACAGCCCTAGGCCATAATGACCATAGTTACATTTAGAGTCAAAAGGTGGAAGCTTGTATGCATGAGAACGCCATCCCAACTGTGAAGGTATGAGGATGCCAACATCATGTTGTGGTGCAGTCACGTTTTGAGTGCACTTTACAAAATAGACAGTATCATGAGGAAAAAAACGTATGTCAAAATATTGAGGTACAATCCCAAGACATCATCATTTAACAAATAGAAATAATGTTGAAAATCCAAATTGACCTAAATCAGGAAATGTTTAATCTGATTCACTGTCAGACGGAGAGAAAAAAACTTCCTGTGTCTTTCTATACAGTGTATGTAAACATTTGGATGGAAGAATTCACCCACTGGAGAAAATTCAGAACTTTAATACCAAAACAAAACAACAAAAATCACACCACTGCAATAAAGACTACCGTTATTTAGTTCAGTTTATGGCAGCTTTGCTGAAGGAACAGTAAAGAAGTGTGGCCTCAGCACTGAAATTTAACTTTGATTTGCCACTCGGTATTAACACTGTATATAGACTATTGCACTACTAAAACACACATCTTTGGTATCAGTGACTGAGTTTTTGGAAAGAATGTGGCTTTCATTCTAATTACTTGTTTTAAAATATATATATATATATCAAGATTCAGTACAGTAGTCCCTCGTGACTTTGCGGTTCGACTTTAGCGGACTTGCGCTCTTTTGCGGTTTTGCAAAGTAAGATTGTGCACGAGAAAAAAAATGTACAGGACACATGATTGTCAACTTTAATATTACTCAGGTGATGGGACAGTATGGGATACTGTACAGTAAAAAGTTAACGAAAAAATAAAATACTTCGGACGGGCGCCATCAGTTTTGTAGATTTCTCTCAGTAAGGCTACACTGTATGCCCGCTCATAACAACTACATTTCCCAGAAGCCAACAGTGCCTCAACCAGAAGCCCCGTTTCCTTCTGCTGAAAAACCTAGAGGGAAAGTTTTGATCTGAGACGCAAAAAGTTTGGTACTTATTCATACAGTGACTTCGGCACCCAGCGGATACAGAGAGCTACATGGAACCCACCAGGAACCAGACCAAAACCGGAGCAGAACCGGACCTCCAGGCTAATCAATCAATATGAGAGCTGCTTGCCGGCCCTCAAGGACTTCCGAGCGTGGACGCGCCGCCAGTAGGTTTGGCGTTCCACCGGGACTTTTGTCCTCCAGATTTGGACTCAATCGGACCACCAGCTGGTCCTGTGTTGGCCATCTGAAGGTCAGGCTCCCTCCAAAATGCATTTCGGTGCTCAAGGACTGCACAGAACCAGACCAGACCCAGCAGGGCAGGTCTGCCAGACCAGAACCGAGCCGTTGTTTCTGCAGAGCTGGTGAGTCAAATTTTGCAGTATTGTACAGTTAAAATTACATAGGTTAAAGTGTTTAGAACATTATGGGCTTTGACGCTGCAGGGTAGGTCTTCAGAACCGTAAAACAAGCAGCTGTGCACTACGTACTGAACTTAAAATTTCAAGTTGAGCTCAACCATTATCAAGTTATCTTGATTAATAAACTTTTGCTAAATAAACTTTTGCTTTAATTTAGTTGATTTAATTGTATTAGTTGACTGAACTGTTTTGGTATGTTGTTTCAACTCAGAAATCTATGCCAATTTAACTTGTGTTAAAAAAAAACTAAAATAAATACATACAATTCTACTTCGCAGATTTTCACTTATTGTGGGGGGAGGGGTCCTGAACCTAGTCCCTGCGATAAACCAAGGACTATTGTTCATTCAAACACATTGTAAAGAGAAATGGAAAAATTAACAAAGGCGGGATGTGCATTTGTTCTGTGAGCACAGTTTTGTGAAACACCATCTGTTTGCCTCACTCAGTTTGCCTTCATCTCTGTTAATCGCTTCCCCTCCCTGCTTCCCTGTAACAGGAAAAGTTAGATGCAGGTTTTTTGATCAGAACTGGTAACAGATCATACGTGTGATGACATTTGTTCTCAAACAGCAATCATCTGAGCTACATGTGCTTCATATTCCGCTACAACTTCTCCCTTTTCCATGTCTCTGAATTTGTACCAGCTACCTATAATGAAGGAAAAGGCTAGCACTGTGAAAAGAAGACGATGTCCTGAGTGCCCTTACTTTCGACATGAAGGCGGTTCAGGATATCTACAGCAACAGCATCAACCTCCAGCTCACAGGTGCTCTGTCTCTCAACGCCATCTAGGAATAAGGAACTGAAAATAGAGCAAACATTTAGAAAAATCATCATATTTTTGCCCCAAATGAAAGATCTGTGCAAGTGGGACTCACCTGGGTAAAGAGTTCTCTTCCCAGTGAACAAAGGTGCCCCCCAGAGCGCCGTTATTAGGTTTGGGAGAACCAGGGATTGTCCAGGGACTAATGATGGGGCATGAGGTTGGTCTTTCTGGGTCTGCTGTTACTTCCTCTAAAAAAGGCAAACACATTGACATTGAGAATAAGTGAAAGGTAAAAGAGTAAATGGTAAATGGATTGTATTGTGCCTCATGTACCTCCACACATACATTCATACAGCATTCTACTACATCTCTAGAGCTAATCTCAATCTGTAGAAACTAATCAGTGCTTCAGATCATATTCATATGCCAATGGGACACACATCAGAGGCAATGAGGGGTTCAGTGTCTTGCCCAGAGACACTTCAACATGTGACTGCTGGTGGAATCGAACCCCCAACTCTCCCAATGCAGAACGACCACTCTAACCACTCAGACACAGCTGCCCCAAATGGTGTATTTCTCTCAGATCAAACAAGCCTAAGTGTGATTTTATATAGTTTTTTTTGTGTGTGTTACACAAATGAAAATAATGTATGCAGTATGTCCAATGTCTAAAACTAGTAAGAATATTTGAAGGCTGCTCAGATTTCAGATGAAAAATTGATATTTTCACTAATGCACATGTTCATAGTATTTTTCAATGCACTGTGGTCTAGATACTTCCAGTTCAAGCAGGGAGAGTATTATGGGAAGATGAAATGAGTACTTTTGAGGAGCTGCGGACCAGGAGGATGAAGAGGGAAAGGCAGTAGGACCTGATGAAATAAATTGCCTGAGGAGACGTGTGCTGGTGCCCATTTTTAAGAATAAGGTCAAGGTTCTTTATTGTCATTCGCATCACATGTGGTACATGAGGTGGAACAAAATTGTGTACACAGGGTCCAAGTTAGATCCAACAATAGCAAAAATATTGTGTTAAAAGAAACAGTAAGTAAGGATCTAAGATGTTGATATAATAATGTTTTTTGTATGTTTTTTAAATGCTTTTATGCCATATTCTTTTGTATGCCATATTCCATATTATAGCTTGAAAATACAACATGTGGACATCTAAGGCCGGGTTACCATGAGAGCAAGATGTTGTGTTTTAAGAAAGAAATGTTTAATTAAACTCTTGGGGAGTGTTTTGGCAGAGGGGCTTGGCCCGCCCTTAGGTCACGACGACCCAGGTTCCTGATAAACATGTTTCATCATTGGACTCTCACGCTATCCTGAACAGGAGGAGAGTCATCTCTACTCCACACATGGATGGGATGGGTGATCGCTCCCTTGATAAGAGAGCATCCTCCTTACACTCCACTTTGAAGTTTGAGCATGTTATTAAGTCTTCACTCCCTCCACACAGATAGAAAGGAGTTACCGTTTTCAGCTCTAAGTTTCAAGTAAACATGTTTTTGTTCACTGGGAGACGCTCTCATGTGATGTAAGAGAGGGAGGGAATAAAAGTGAAAGAAGCACTTAGACCAGGTTAGAGTCCGCTGTGGGTCTTTCCGGCCGAGGACGCCCAGCTGTGTCGGTGTTTTGGTTCCACCCAGGCTGAACCGGCTCTCCAGCCTTTGTGTCACGGTGAGAGCCGTTTGATGAATAGACACTTGTGTGTGTATATCTGAGTATGATTGCACATTGCTTTGCTTTCACGCTTTTATCTGTGGCGGAGTAATAAAGACACAAATTATTCTAGTAGAACTGCATTTGTGCGTTTCTTTTTGACCATGGTGCTGATACTCTTCCGAATCCTGGTTTTATTTAAACAAATATCCCAAATCAGATGTGAACTAAGATATATGCTAAATGAACACCAAATGGTACACTAAAAGAGCTAAGATATACACTAGTCACTGATAGTGCAAAACAATACACCGAACAACAGCAGCACCAACATTAGTCTTTGTGGGTGGATAAGGACAAATGAATGAACACAGCAGCATGAATAATCAGCAGCATGAGATCAGCAGCATGTATAATATGCAGCATATTAACAATTAAAGTGGCATTACAGTGATTTTCCTTGTTAGGGATTTGCAAGTCTGAGATCTTCAAGGTAGAAGCTGTTCCTCAGTCTAGTGGTTCTGCACTTAATGCTCTGCAACCTCCTGCCTGAGGGGAGTGGGGCAAAAACTGAGTGTGCTGGGTAAGTGGGGTCCTTCATGATGCAGGTGGCCCTCTTCCTGCATCTGGAGGTGTAGATGTCTGTGATGGTGGGGAGACTGACTCCAGTGGTCTTCAGTACAGCCTTCACCACTCTGTAAAGCTTTCCTTTCTGCAGGGTGATGTACAAGGGTGCATGTACAAGGATGAACAAGGGTGATGTACAGACTTGCAGCAACTACGGGGGAATTAAGTTGATGAGTCACACAATGAAGATCTGGGAGAGAGTTGTGGAAGCTAGACTTAAACGAGAGATCACTATTTGTAAGCAGCAGTATGGTTTCATGCCAAGAAAGAGCAGCACAGATGTATCTTTGCTTTGAGAATGCTAATGGAGAAGTACAGAGAGGGTCAGAAAGAACTCCATTGTGGCTTTGTGGATTTAGAAAAAGCATATGACAGGGTGCCGAGGAAGGCGCTGTGATGTTCTATGAGGACATCTGAAGTAGCAGAGAAGTAACATACTGCAATTGTTGGGCTTTAGAACATGCCAGTCTCTAAGCCGCACTTATTAAATATAACCCTGAATGCTAGGAAACGCCTTGTAACTGTGACTTTCATTCCCTCCATTGATTACGGTGACATTATTTACATGAACGCTCCTACAAGAACCCTGCAGATGTTGGATGCTGCAGATGTTGGATGCTGTCTATCATGGTGCACTAAGATTCATAACTGGCTGTGATTATCGTACCCACCACTGCACCCAGTATTCACTGGTTAACTGGACATCATTAACTTCACACAGACTCTCCCACTGGTACATTTTCATCTTTAAATCACTTCCTGGTCTGCTGCCTTCATACATCTCCTCCTACATGTCTCTGTGTGAGTGCAGCTACAGCGTGCGCTCTCAGGACATCATTACCTGCAGTGTTCCCTCAGTGAGGACTGAACTAGACAAAAGGACCTTCTCCTACTCCGCTCCTGTTTCCTGGAATATCTTACAAAAAGATTTGAAGCTCTCGACCTTTGACCTCTCTAAGTGTCTTTAAGAATCTGTTGGACTCCTGGCAGGGACCAATGCAGACATGTTCCTGTTTTTAGTTTTCTACATTCGCCTTAGAATCTAGCTGTTTTTTGTTACCTCTTTCTTTTAGCCATCCTATTTGTAAAAAAAAAAAAACTGTAGTATGACTTTTTATAACTGTTTATCGTTGTTGCTGTTGTCCATTGTTGTCATCTTTCTTTGTTGAAATCAGGTCTCTCTTGTAAATGAGTCCTCGAGGCTCAATGGGATTACCTGTCTAAATAAAGGTTGAATGAATTAAATATAATATAAATCATAATTTTGTATATAAATTTAATTCAATTCAATTCAAAAATACTTTATTAATCCCAAAGGGAAATTATTTGTTGTTGTAACTCTTTTCTTTTCCTCATTTCATTAAGAGATGTTATAGATGCTGATGCTGTAGTCAGGAAGGATCTCTTGTAAAGGTCCATCTCACACTGGATCCTAAGAAACTGGCTGCAGATGCTGTCCGATCCGTCCACCCAGACTCGACTGGCCTCTCGGTTCCTCCAGGCTGTAGGACCGCTTGAATGCTGGGCAGAACTCCTCCCAGAGCGATGGTCACTCCTCCCAGCAGTCTGCCGAGCTCCTCGTCACTGTGGACAGCCAACTGTAGTTGCCGAGAGACGATCCTGTCCTTCCGCTGTCATGAGCCGCGTTTCCTGCTAGTTCCAGGATCTCAGTGGTCAGGTACTCGAGCACAGCTGGCAGGTAGATGAGAATGTGTCCACAGAACATCCTTTCAACTCATTTGGGATTTGGGGCTGTAGATGAGATATTATTTGATCTTTTGAGATGTTATTTAGCTGGTGTAGGTTGTAGAAAACTGCCTTGTTGCCATGGTTATGCATCATAACAAATGTCCAAAACTAAAAAAGTTTCAGTAAAAATCCTTCCAGCTGCACAGCATCTGATACCAGAGGAAACAATCATCCAAAAAATGTGATTTACATCCAGAAAAAGAGGAATTAAAGTTTCCAAAAGCAAATTCTCAGAATGAAAGAAACAGAGCTGCTCCAACATGCAGACACCTGGAGCGGCGCAATTCTAGAACAGATAAGACGCTCTGGTTATTTAGCCGCAGCATCCTCCGTTCATCGTCAGGAACTATGCCCCCAGCCTGCTCCAGCTGTATGCAGCTTTTTTGTTGCAGTACAAGAATCAGCCAGCAGATGGCATTTCACAAAATATAGCTTACTTTCAACACCTGTCTATCCATTAGCTATTTCAGCCAATCAGGACGTCCCAAATGAACCGGAAATAGAACTCTTTAAATGTCGGCACTTCCTAGTTCCAGCCAGTAGAGTGCGGTGGGAGAGCAGTTCAGTTCGGAGAGCAGAACCAAACAGAAAAGTTGCTGGAGCAAACAGGAGGTTCCAGACATGATCCGAAGTTCTTCCGAGTCTCGTGGGAATTATGGAATCTTCCACATCTGAGTGGAACCCCTGACGGACTTACTCCTCGTGTGAGTCCACCTGTGAGGTGAACGTGCGCTGCACTAAGTACCGTCACTACTTCGGACGATTCACAGCTGTTCCTATGGAGACGCTGGAAATGGTAGCGTTAAATGGAACTCCGTACCAGCTGATTCATCTTCAGAGAGGTAACGAGTCGATTTCCTACCGAAGCGTACCGGGGCGAAACTGGGTTCGAATGGAGAGTGCCGTTCTTATACCGACACATAACAACCCCTCATCCATCTTCTCTCTCAATTTAAACTTCATTTCCATCTTTAAAACTCTTCTATCTTGCCAGTAATTCACCCAGATATTTTCAGAAATGTCTGTTGGGTTAAAGTTGCAAGGGAAATCGTGGCCGTACGGTTTCCTAATTGTAAAGTTTGCTAATTAATTATGTTGCTGTTGAAATCAATTTGCCAAATTAATGTAAATGTTTGATGTTAAACTTTGGTTCTGTTAATAAATGACCGCATTCATTTGATGGGTCAAAGAAAATTAACGTCTC